ATTCACGTGCCTGTCCTGTGACGACAGCTCTTGCAAAGTGAGCATGCCAGAGCCCAGCAAGCTTGCTTTTGAGCGTTTCTTAAGGTCTTTAGTCTGAAATCAGATGCTTGTGGCCTATTTGAGGTCTTTTGCCTAACATCAGATGCTTTTGGCCTATGGTAAACCTGAGTGGCATCAGACCGCCTTGCCCAGCTCAGCAAGTTTTTTGCGCACAGGATCTTAGTTGGCTCGATGATCTCGCTGACCAATTTCTTACCGACGTCCACACTGCGCCACATTCGGACTCTTGGAAAACAGGGGCGAGAGCCGCCGTTTCGCAAGCACTGCATTTTGCAGCTTACATGAGGTTGACCGGAATCGAACATACCTTGCAGGCTTCCTTGCGCAAGCTTTTGGTGCCCACACTAGGGTTTATCAATTTGGCAGCTGAGGCTTCTTGGCACGGAGAAGCTAAGTGCACTGTTCAAATGAGCGGACTGAGGAAGACGATGATTCCGATGATCTCTACGAAGATGTTGACATGGAGTTCTTGGATTCGCTGCTTGATGGCGAGAGCCACTCCCCTCCTGACGTGGACAGCCCATCCTCTCCTGCACCTAATTGAACAGGCAAGGGCCTGGAAGGGTCAGCCACAAGTATTGCGACTCCGAAAGCGTCGCGGCAGTTTTGTGTGTTGGCTGTTAGGGCTCCGCGTCCTCTTGGTTTTGAATGCAGGGAGAGAAGCCGAAGCAACGGCAATGTCTCGATGTCGCAAGAGCTACCTGCACCTGGATCCTTCTGAAGTGTACAGTAGTAAAGTGGCTAAATGGCCGAGCTGTCGCCATTGGGCGTGAAAGATTCATGCCAGCTTCAGCCCAGAAGCCTCGAAAATTCGGTCATGGTGACTGCATGTTGTCGGATCGGGTTCCTCAGCCTTATTTGCAGAATTTCAAGTTTGCAACCTTCTGTTCACACCCAGACCTTCAAAACTTGAGACAGGCGTGCACTTCGAGGTCTGCCCAACCTCCTCCCTAGAGACGGGGGCTTGGTCGTACGAGGAGGCGCGGCAGTCAGGAGATTTGCATGGGTTGTGGGGCAGACTTCAGGGCTTCGCTTGATGATGCGTTTGAAAAACCTGGGGTCCTGAACAAACCTGTCAGCCTATGACAGAGCTCGAAACTCAAAGCCCCAGATTCTCGTTCTTCCAGGGTGCCCCACCCTGGCCTCAGCATCCGCTGGCGACGCTTCTACAAGCCGGGGCAAAGGCCGGGTGTACACAAGCACCCACCCACACGCACACATACACTTTTACATATCTCCACACCAAGTCTCGGGTCCTTTCACCTGAGAATCACCGGTTATCCTGGCAATTAGAACCTTGCTCTCACTTTGCATACAGCATGCAGCGACTCAGCAGATACACAGACACACTGACTTTCAGACACACAGACGCACACGCACCCTCACGCCCGCCCGCCCGCCCGCACTGCGCGTTCTGCGTTGTTGCACTGTAGCACATGTGCATATGCAGGTTGCAGTGGCGTGTTACACAGATCCGGGCATGTTTAGATGTGAGCTGCATCAACAACAAAATCAACAACAATTTGTTACAATCCACATGGCCTCCTCAAAGGCCAAGGCGACGAGCCGGAAGCCTAACAGGCATATGACGTTGCGGTTTTTTCAGGTCTCCATCAACTCAGACGACCCCACGGCTCCCGAGCCGTGGATGAGGGGAGGGTTCTAGCTCAAGGAAGCCGCTTTAAGTTCAGATGTTCCGCATTGTTCCTTATACATCATGTAGAACGCGGATGTTAGTTATTCGCGTTTAGGCGGCACAGGTCCAGAAGCCGAACAGCCGAAGCCAAGGTTTTCGACACATCGCTGACCCAAGAGCTGCTACTCTGCATTCGTGACATGAAGCTCTCCCGCCAGCAGGCAAGTTGGTTTAGGAAAAGGGGGCTCCTAAAGAGTTTCGGGATACACCCGGGCTTGGATCTGCCACTATGCTGGGCAGTGCTTCGGCATTTGGACCCTGAGCTTTGCGCCTCGATGAACTTGCCTGCGCTTGTTCTTGCTAAGCACAGCTGCATACCGCGACATGGATGTTGCAATGTTGAAGACAGTTCCTGTGCGGCTTCGACAGCCTGCACTGCATGTGGCACTTGAGCAGTCATTAACCTGTCTGGCTTTGCCTTTTCTCTGTTCGTTCTTCAATAGCCAGATCGTTTGAGCGTCACCGTGGTGGCGCTCAGCTTCAAAGCCTACCACCTCATTAACCTAAAATACCGCTCTCAGCTGCTTTTGAAGTTCTCCGGGGAAAGGTGGTGCAGCTGACCCTGTCGGCAGTGGAGGCTGCCTTCGCTGCTCGATAGTCAACAGAGGAGATTTCTACAGTTTGAGGAGAGGCAGCCTCAGAGCTATGACCGCTTGCATGGCACCTCAGACATTGGAGGCAGGACTGCACCTGACTGCACACATGGCTTCAAATGTGTCAAGCAACTCGGGTACAGCCCTCACAGAGGGCCAATTTGTTGTCGAACACGTCAGTGCACCACAGCCAAGGGAGATGACGAGGAGCTCACCCGTGTACCTTTGTTGCATCTGGATTTTGCCGTTGATGACCTTGGCTCGACTCGAGGGATCTTGACCAAAACTCACAGTTCGGAACCCGGGCCCCTGATCTAAAAACACTGTACACCCGACCTCACTCAAGAACACCGGGATGCCCCAGCAGCGCTTGGAAAACTGAGATCCGTCGGCGGATTGAGCAGTTCGCGGCGAGCGGAGGGGCCTAATTCGGCCTTGCTGCCCGAGGGGGCGAAGAAGAAAAGGGCGGCTGCAACCATCTGGCAGATTTGTTTGAACAAGTTTCGTCTTGAAATGCACACACACACATATACAGACTTGCACATACAAACAAATATATCTACATATATAACTAAGTAATTAAATAGATAACAAATATGTATATATATATATATGTATTGGCAACTTTATTCATGTCAAATCAGTTGCGGCAATTGTCAAGGGGCATAGACATTCTGCAGTCCGCGAGTTTTGGGTTGAGGGTCGAACCTTCATGCAAGTGAGGAGCTGTGGAGTTTGCGGGAGAGATACGGAAGGTTTTTTTCGCAGAGGGAATCGCGGACTTCGCCTTGCGAGTGCAACTCCGTAATCCATTTTGCGGGAGCTACCATATGTTGTGAGAGAGTCGAATCTCCCACCCCAGAAGCCAAGAGCCCAACAACCTTTCACCCTGGGTGTGAAGTTGGGGCGCCCAAGCCCGAAGCCCTTCTGAAGCTCGGCAGAAAGTTCTGGCGACATGGGTTGGTTTAGAGAATGTGCAGCACTGCTTCTGAGGTCTGCCAGTGTGCCTTCTTATGCTGACTGCCGCGCTGTGGCTTGCTGAGTCGGACGCTCACAAGACACTGTGGCGGCTTGGGCTCAGGGGTTTGAACTGACGGAAATTCCCCAAATTCCAAGAGTTCGCACTGGTACAGCCAGGCATCCTTGATAATTGTTGGGGCTCTGAGCACTGCGTGGGCATGAACAGGTTTAGGGCTGAGGGCTGGGGTGCGAGGATTGCGGAAAGAAGAGGCGAAAGAGGTTTCTGGTTGCTATTTGAGACGTTCGTTTGCTGGCAGACTTCCAATCACCGAAGTCCCCTTGGAAAAGGATTAGTTAAGCCCTGGCAAGATGTAAGCTTGAACCCCCGCTTGCCCCGCAGAGTTTTGTGTTTTTGTCCAAGCGCAGCCACGAATTGGCAAGAGGCCTTCGTGGGCTTGTGCAGCTTTGATATCTCTGCTATCTCTCCCAGCAGTCCCGACAACTTACCTCCTGAACCAGAATAGCTCGAGTTCCGAGTCGCCATGCTGACGATGATGCAGGTTTCACCTCACTGCAAGCTTTCGTGGCCAATAGCCTGCCTTCACAGCAATGAGGGGCAGACAGATGTCCTCGCAGTCGCTCCCATGGCGAGCGCAGATGCGACGCAGACTCTTCCTCGTTGGACTTCCCTGGTTGCTTGGTGCCGCAGGGATATGAAGATATGGTGCTGCTGGGGTCGGGCCAGAGTGGTAAGGTGCAATCAGGGCCAAGGCTGAAAGGGCCCTGCTTAGCAATTAAAGCAGTGTTGTGTCGCGTTCCGTGCATCCTTGGTCTTTGAGGCCTTAGCCAGTCATGTCTTCGGGAGCTCAATAATCTCTGTAACTCTGCAAGAACCTTTTCAGAAGCCGGCTTACCCCTTACCTTAGGCGTGGCCCTGAACGGCACCGCCCTTAAATTGTGTCCTTTTCATATCCTAGACCTATGGGAAACGAGTCCCATCAAGGCTCTTCGGCGAGCTAGGTGCCAACAAGTCAGCCAAACAGAAGTGGCAAGCTACCCATTCAGCTCACGAGCTACTCCAGGCACAGCTGCAGCTGGCCATGTCACTACAGATCCCCGCCCGATCGCTATCCCCAGGTTCGTGGTACTTCTAGTTTTGCGCGCCCAGCGCGGCGACGGCAGCTTTGTGGGTGCGCGGCATTTGAACGCCAGGTGCTTTTGCACGCCAGATCTCTGAATTCTGCGAGAACTGCGAAAGCTTTGTCGCCTGCATCAAAGCGCACCGTAGATTTCTACAGACTTGACCTCAACCGCCAAAGCCTGTACTGCAGAATCTTGCAGAACCCCCTCATCCTCACCTGCTGTCTTGCCTGATAAAACGCTTGCGCGCCTCGCATGTTGTTGTCCTTGGAGGGCACTGATTTCAAGCCGATCTGCAGCTGCTGATGAAGCGCTCCGGGCGGACATCCAAGGACCGGCTTAATTGGGGCGGCTTGGTCTTTTAGGACCTAGGAACCTGGTGATGTCTGATGTGTCGGGAATGTCGAGGTCAAGTTGCTCGTTTTACGAAGTGCACCAGAAGGCTTCGACCCAAATTTCATGGCAAAGTTCTCGGCGGGGCGGGGAGGGGTTGAGTGTTGTTGTTCCAGTACCCTAGGCTATGCGCAAGGAACTCAAGAGAAGGAAGTGCCATGTCCCTCCGCTGCAGAGTGGCGTGGAAAACCTGCACAGGAATGCGAGCAAGAGAGATCAAGGCTGAGCTAATGGACAGTGGAGTCGACACGTCGGACATTTTCGACAAGGATGATCTGGCGAAGCGCGCCTGGGTTGAGGGTTTAGGGCTGCGGGTATTTGCGGTGGGCTTGGAGTTCGCTCGGTCCGTTTCTCACAGGAAATTTGCGCTCTCCTCTTACTCTACTGTGCTGGTTACTGATGACGGTGATTTTAGCAGAATTCACTTTATAATTCACGACGGGTTTCCCAAACGGCTCTGTGCCATACGTGGAAGTTGACCAGGGCCGAATGTGTGAACACACCATGCGACGGCTTCATTGCATGGTGAGCTTACCATGCCAAGCAATGCAAGGTTTTTACTTTTGCGTTCGGTGGTGCATTCCTTTGTGAGCCTCGAGAAGCCCAGGAAGCTTCCTTTTCGGCACCGAAGCTCAGGTTTGTTCGACCTCCGAACGGGCGCCATCCATGGATACATGGTTTGCATAAGGGATTGCATAGGCACCGAGTTTCACATGCCTGGCGCCCCCGAGCTTTAGAGGCTAGGGTTGCGTGGGGTTTGAGGCTGCCAGACTCCCCTCCTTAGACTCGAATCCCTGTGCTTGAAAGCATTTGCAAGCTCAATGCCTCCTTCGAGACGAGCGTCCAAATCCTGAGATTCTGTGCAAAGTGGTGTGTCCGCTCTGTCTCTCTGTGTGTGTGTGTGTGTGTGCGTGTGTCTTTGTCTGGCTCTCGGGTGTCTAGGTCGGCCAGTACGGCTCGCTGTTGTGGGTTGTTGCTGAGTCTTCTCCAACCTTCTTGCTCATGCCCTAGATCTGTCCGGACGCGCTTCGGTCTCGGCAGTGTGGTGTGAACTTGTGGGCAGGTGGAAAGAACACAACAGGAGCCACGAAGACCTGGCAAATCCAACCAACCTCCTGTTTCTTGAAGCTCACACACCTAATGGCTTTGGATTCCCATGGACAGAAGTTCGGACAGAAGTTTGGACAAACGTTTGGGCGTTCTGAGTCCTCGACTTGTCCCTGCGGAGTGTCAACAGGCTCAGCAGGCGGATGAAAAGAATCCGAGAAACCTCCCAAAAGCCCTAAACCCCTAAGCCCTATAAGGCCCTTACGCTCGATAGCCTCCCCCCTCCAACCCCCGCAAAACTCTTCCTCTGATTTTTCTTATACATAAAGACACCTCTCTATCTCTCTCTCTCTCTCTCTCTCTCTCTCGTGTTTCTCCCAATACAACTGGGAGCTTCAAATGTTAAAAACTTCAGGCTCTCCTTCCCCTACCGAGCCGAGCTCCGGAGCTGGGTCGGTGGAGGCAACCGCCGAGGCCGCGAGAGTTGAGCCTCAGTCCAATGTTCCAGGGTTTCCACAACACAAGACCTTCTAGAGGGATTTGTCGGGGGTTTGGGGCTTGTAACAGGGCTTTTGTGACTGCAAAAGAGGTTTTGCAAGGTTTTCGGGCTACATTCCCGGGTGTGTCGCTCGTGTGATCATCGGCTTCTATCGCAGCCGAACAAACGTAGCAGAAGCGACCCAACACCCGCAGGCAGGTGTGTTACAGGGTCGAGATTTTGGCACCCAAAGCTGAGCCATCAGCAGGCGGAGGCCAAGGAGGATGAGGAGGCAGAGGCGCCAGTGGAGGACTTCGTGCAGAAGTGCCGCGACATGAGCGTAAAGGAGCTCCGAACAGCCGCTCGGTGAATGATGAGGAACTTGGGATGTACAGCTTTCAGGGTTTCGGGTGAAGGGTCGAGAGCTTTCAGGTCCCACCGATCGGCTGGTGCAGAAGCGAGGCCACAACAATGCATCCACTAGCGGTCAGGTCTGACGCCGATCTGTGAGACTCCGCACCGCTGTTGTGTTTACGGTCTACGACTGCGAACGCAAGCTTGAAATGCCAGCGTGGTCGAGTCATCGACAGCCGCATCAATTGACAAGCTGACCTTTCAAACCCTCCATTACATGGGGGGTGAGGGGTGAGGGTTCCAAAGCGAGGCATTCGTTTGAACGTGTCTTGCTTGGGTTAGTGCTTCTCTACCCGCCTTTCTTTCATACATGCGATTCAGAAACGATGTCGAGGCCTGACTGCCTAGCTTAGAGTGTATGGTTGTAGGATAGTGCTGACAATACTTGTCGACTTGGAGGGAAGTGGCAAGCAGCACAAGTGGTTTTGACAGAATGGCGAACACGGGGAGAAACACAGCAATGATGATGAACTAAGGTCGGAACGTACGTGATACTTGCTTGGTCAGCGAGCCGACTGAAGAGTAGTGTTTGACTAAGGAGCTGGGAACTCGAAACATCAAGTGGGCCGATGCCTTGGACAAGGCCCCAAAAAAGCACTGTGTGCCGCACGATGACCAAGATGCCCAATTTGAAAGGCTGACAATGCCTGACTCTTGGCATCTTGGGACAGAGCTTTCGATTGAAGATGACCGGTAGAGAGAGGCCCTCTGTGCGAAGTGCATGAATCCAAGCACCTATCTATCCCAATCATCCATTCATCGACAGGTTGAGGTCATGGGCTAAAGAATGAAGGGGGGTATGCGGTCATGCTGTGCCTGGCCTGCTTTTCGTGCCCCTGCACAGCGAGACTCTCGGGGATGGCGCGGCAGAGAGAGGGAGAGGGAGAGAGAGAGAGCCCTCAACCCCGTAGAAGAAGAAGAAGAAGGAGAAGAAGAAGAAGAGAGTGTGTGTGTGAGAGAGAGTGTCATCGACAGCTGCGACAGGACGACTTGGTCCAGAGGCTGGCTCCTGTACTTGCTGAGGACCCTACCGGAAGCGATCTTCGTAGAATCGTGTAGCGGCGAGCTGGCGTGTGGCCTTGTGTGGCCTTGTAGCATGAGGGACTCCTACCAAGCCCCAGTGCCCTGTGCTGTTCAGCCGCGTTTCGGAAGGAGGCTGCTATGGCCGCGAAGGGCCCATTGAGACCCGGCCAGGTAACGACGCCTGGTGCAGAGCGGCAATTTTTTGGGTTTCCGAGGGGGCTCGGTTTCGACTTCGACAAACAGTTAGCAATTTTGGGCTCTCTCAAGTAGATCTGTTTCGCTTTTGTCGGTACCATGGCCTAGAAAGTGACTCGGGCTCGATGCTTCGGATGGGCTCCGCGCTTAAAATCAAATCCTTGAAGAACCACTATGCCACTCGAGATTCTGAACTTTCTGAACCCCGAGTCCCCAGCAACCTTCTCGCCTCATTAAGCTGACACGCTTGCGGGGTGATTTTGAGATGTTGGGGAAGGGGCATCGAGTCCACAATGTTAATTGGATGCTGGAGGCAAGGACACACACATATCTGAGTGCAAATCATGGCTTCTGTTTTGTTTTTGGCCCGGGATGCGGGATGCAGGGTGCAGGTGGTGTCGAGATTCTTGAAGCCCAAAAAAGGGCCATCCTGAGCCCCGAAAAGCCGGTGCCTCTCAGGAAGATCACGGGGCCGCAGCTTCGCCACTCGGCTTCAGCTCTTGGGGATGGTGTGCAGCTTTTGTGGGTTCATGGGTCATGGGTCATGAGTCATGGGTTTAGGTTTTCAGTGGCTTCTAGAACTGAGGGCCCAAGGTTGTGCTTGAGTGGAGGCTGTCGTAGCATAGAACGAGAAAAGCGCATCTGCAGTTGGAGCACTGCTTGTGGTTGCAGGAGCGCTGGTGCCTTCTGGCAAAGTTCGCTGTAGTGCGTGTGTGCCGAATGCGTTGTCATTATTCCGATGCTGCGTTGTGGAGGCCCTGCCATAGGCAGAACAGTTCTCAGCATCCATAGGCAAGAATCACATGCCATGTCAGGTTCGTAACGCAGAAGACATGTTGTGCTTGGCCGGGCTGCGGCCGCTTCGTTGGACTTTCTAAGCTAGGGATTTTTCTCTACGACTGGCCATGGCTCGGACATTTCGACCGGGCGACCGGGTGACGGTCGCCCAGACGCAGCTGTGTGGGACAGTGAAGTTTATTGGTGCCACGGAGTTCGCGGCCGGTGAGTGGATGGGCATTGAGCTGGACGAGAAGGCCGGGAAGAACAATGGCAGCGTCAAGGGCAAGTGCTACTTCGACTGCAAGCCAGAGCACGGCCTTTTCGTGAGGCCAACCGCCGTCACCAAGATTCAAGAGCCTGGACACAAGCAGAAGTAAGACTTTCACGCTTTCCCAGCTAGAAAAAAACCCGGATCAAGCTCCATCAATTCCTACTACCAAATCCCTCAAGCCCGAAGGCCCCCCAGAACCCTCAACCTGATCCCCCCCCCCCACCCTCCCCCGCGCACTCTGCCCCAGATCCTCAGGAAGCTCAGCCGGAGGCCGTGGAACCGCTTCCAGAGGTCAATGTGCAGAAGCCTCCACCAGGACGGGGTTGGGGTTGAGGGTTGGAGCTTAGGATTCAGGGGTTGTGTCGGGAACTCCGAAAATCCTACGAGTTTTTTGGACCTTGCCAGGCGCCTCGTTGCACAAAACCCCGTCGCCGCCCGCAGTGCCGCCGGCAGCCTCTGCCCCAAAGGTCACTCTCCAGCCGGCCTTGCTGCTGGGCGTTCTTGGACTTGGGGTGGCCGTTTAGGAGTTTAGGGTTGCCCTTTTGCTTTTGCACCCAAGAAATGGTTGGGGCTGGCGTCCCTCGTCATGAGAAGGCCCAAGAAGCGAAGATTGGAGAGACTTTCTGGTGACAGAGCGCACTGCTTCGCCTAGGCTGGTAGTGCCACAGCCGCATGCCTCCTCGCCTCCAAGACGCATCAGCAAAGTGGAGGAAGGAGACAAGACGCGTGAAGTGGAAAAGGCGGGCTGAACAATTAATGGTGAAGAAGCCGTACATGCGATTTTGTTGGGTTTACGGCTGGTGGGTGCTCTGTGGAAGAGAATCCTCATCAATTCCTTGGCAGGTGGGCTACAATGACTATAGACTGGTCAAGTAAAGCTCCAGCAGTGTGAGTCTTCTTCAGTTACCTTTTGCTCAGGAGGGACGATTTGTACAGAAACCCTTATCTTGCCCTTGATAGCCCTCAGCGACATGCTCAAGAGGCCGTGAGCCATAGTTAAACACACCCTCGCACCTGAGAGGCTGGCGTCCAGCTTGAGCTGGCGCAGGCCATGGAGGACCACGACGCGGACTCTATTCGAAGGCTTCTCCCAGTGGCCATGAACCTGGGCCTGCCTCCGGAGGAGATGGGGGTTGACAACAGAACGGACATTTAGCATTTCAACTAGGGCACTGCAGCGATTCAGCCCGATCTCGGGCCGCAGTCAAAGGCAACAGTATCGTGGCTTGTTGCTGGTGTGACGGGTTACTTTCCAGTGGCTTCCCAGGAGATTTCGGCAGCCAGGCGGATCCTCAGTTGGGAGGCGGAGGGCTCAGGAAGCCAGCAGCATCCAAGAGTGTAGCCTGCTTGCCTTACGGTTACAGTGCTGGAGCGCTCTCAAGCCTTTCCGGACGTGTGAGTCATTTGCTAAGTGCTCAGGTGAGGCAGACCATGCAGGAGGAGGTGGATGCTGTTTGCAGCTCCATCTCGCAGCTGGCACAGTCGATCACCAACTTAGAGGTGCGCACATCGAGGAAAACCCAAAGCGACAGCCGTGCGGTGGCTAGGTCACTGTCCAACAAGGATGTTTGATTCCTTTCTTTTTCTGACAACAAGATTCACAAAGATTCGCGCACTGGTACACAGCCCAGGTCATTGGCCGACTCGGCACCGAGCTGGAGAGGAGAGTGTGGGAGAAGCTCGAGAGCAAGATTCACAGCATCGTTGAGAGTGCGATGGCCAAGGTTCCAGCTCCAGCTCCCAGGCCAGTCCTGGAACTGGAGGCCTTCCGCTTTGAGCACTTCGACCTCAACGGGGACGGGATCATTACCCGCGATGAATTTGAGGAGGCTCGCCAGATGATCATGTCAGGACATGGAGGCAAGACCTTTCCACCGGCCGCCAAAGTTGCCGAGAAGCTCCCGCAGAAGATAGATGCCACGAGGCCTCAGCGAGAGCAAGCCCCGCGTGCTGTCATGCGGCAACTGTACTCCCAGGCTGCTCAGCGACTGCAGGTGCTGGAGCGTGCCTCAAAACACCCGGATGTCGAGGCGGCGCAACTGGTAGTCAAACATTTGATACAGAAGGGGCTGCAGAAAGCGCTCCTCATGGCGCCGCATGCCCTCGCGGAGGCGCAGCAGGACATCGCGGCCATCCGTGCGTCAAAGCAGCGCATCGAGGATGCCACCAAGAGAGCGGAGGAGCGTGTAAACGCAGCTTCCACGAAGGTCCAGGCGATGGCACGAGGGCGGCAGGCGCGACAGAAGAAAGACCTTCTGGAGAAGAGCGCCGTTACCTTGCAACGTGCCCTCCGCCGGCTTCGACAGCAGCGGCATCAGGGCAAGAAGATGGACTTTGTAGCAGTTGTCCGGGCGGTGAAGGGCCAGCGAAGGGAGTGGGCCATGGAGTTCCAGAGGGTGGCGGGCGAGGATGGCCTGGATCAGCAGCCTTTCGTGGAAGCCCTGACCCGGGCCTGCGGCGAGAGCGTGTCCAGCCTGCAGGCCGGTGTTGCCAACCGTAGGGGATCCACGAAGAGCAGGAGGCGGAATATAAGGAGCGACCTACCTGACTCTGCCTGCCACAAATAGATCAGGAATGCAGTGTTAAATGTTTCCATTCCCCCTCTCCACACAAGACTGGCAGAAGGAAGCTTGTGCTGGAAGCTTGGTCATCGAGTTTGGACTAACCCTCAGCCAACGTCAATAACAGCCGGTGCAGGAAAGGTCTCTTCAGAACAGCCTGATGTTGACCTAGACGTACTTGCTGCCCTGATGCTTAAACCCAAGAAGGGTTGATATGCAGTGCTCTTTGTGGAAATCATCCTGGCAGTTGCGGTCAGTCATTGCAGCTTACCATCCATAAGCAACATGCAGATAGTATCCTTAGGAAGAGCCCGCCTTTCCAATTTCATGCCCAAATTCCACGAAACCCTTGCAGCAATGTCCTTGTAACATGCCTTTTCCACTCCTCAGCATCTAGGCAGAGAAGCTGTGGATGGGATACGTGCAGCAAAGCAAGCATGCTGGGCCCATGCTGTTGCCAACCTTCTGGGCGATCTGCGACGCAGTTCTGCAGGGAGATATCCAGGCTGCCGAGTTTGCGGATATGACCGTGGAGGAGTACATGTCCTACGCATCCTCGACGCCGGATGCCCTCGCGGAGGCGCAGCAGGACATCGCGGCCATCCGTGCGTCAAAGCAGCGCATCGAGGATGCCACCAAGAGAGCGGAGGAGCGTGTAAACGCAGCTTCCACGAAGGTCCAGGCGATGGCACGAGGGCGGCAGGCGCGACAGAAGAAAGACCTTCTGGAGAAGAGCGCCGTTACCTTGCAACGCGCCCTCCGCCGGCTTCGACAGCAGCGGCATCAGGGCAAGAAGATGGACTTTGTAGCAGTTGTCCGGGCGGTGAAGGGCCAGCGAAGGGAGTGGGCCATGGAGTTCCAGAGGGTGGCGGGCGAGGATGGCCTGGATCAGCAGCCTTTCGTGGAAGCCCTGACCCGGGCCTGCAGCGAGAGCGTGTCCAGCCTGCAGGCCGGAGACTGGCCAAATGCGCTCAAGCAGATTTCTTTCCCTTCCTTTCTTCTTTAGTAAATGCTCCTCAGGCAGAGAAGCTGTGGATGGGATACTTGCAGCAGAGTGAGCAGAGCGGGCCCATGGTACTGGCAACCTTTTGGGCAATCTGCGATGCTGTTCTGCAGGGAGATGTCCAGGCTGCCGAGTTTGCGGACATGACGGTGGAGGAGTACGTGTCCTATGGACAAGCCGTGCCTCGACCAGGTTTGAGCAGGTTCTATGTTTCTTGCACGGGCCATGATGACACCATTAAATTTCTTGTTCAGCATAGTAGCAAAACTGGTGGAGCCCTTGCTTAAGAGCGATGCCCTGATCCTCATCGCAACCCTAAACCGGAAGCCTGGGATCACAGGCGGAGCACTGGGCCGCGCAGAAGATTCAGGCCGCGTACCTTGGACGGAAGATCCGACAGCAACCCACTACGGAGCAGGCACTGGAGCAGGCAGAAGAGAGAACCGGGAAAACCCGCAAAACTTCTCATCATGCCGTGCACACATAGAGCTGCGCATGACAAGGTTTTGGCTGTGCAGTCCCTGCAGGCTGCTGCAAGAATTCAAGCCGCCCATCTGGGTCGAGTCCTGCGCCAGAGTGTGGGTGCTCTCGAAGCGGTTCCAGCCGACATCCGGCCATGAGTGGACATGTCGTCATGGCTTTCAGACCTGTTACTTGCACTATCGCCCAACATGAGACATCCCCAGACTCCCAGCCAATGAGGAATCAAGCTTTCCATATTTACCATACTGTTGCCCAATACGGACTCACGCAGTTTCTTACTTTGCAGCGAGGCAAGAACCTTAAAGGTACTTGGCCCTGCAGATGTGCTCCTCTTAAGGCATCTGCTGCATTTCTTATGCGGAGATCTGCGAGTTTTCCGAATCCTTGTCTTGTATGGTCGGAGCCAATAGGAAGCATTACCTTCTGTGTGAAGACGAGCCAGGTCATCGTCTGTGGTCGGTTGCTTGACGAACTCAGACGGCAAGAGCAGCAAATCGCAGAACATGGTTTCACGTGTCTGTGAATTCACAGACGGCCTTGTTGTAGTTGACCTGGTGCACAGGTGGGACTGACCTCGTTTTATGATGCGTCGAGGACAAGTCCGCCAACCGTACTAGATTCTGTGCTAGGCGGTTTCTGTGATGCTATGCAGTATCTCTCTTTCTTTGAAATGAAGGGCTGGTGTTTCGTCAAAACAGTTCCTTCCTTTTTCAGTTAGGGATTGCCTGAACGATTTACGAAGGCATTATTTCAGTGTGTCCGAGCATTCAGCATCCTCGCCGAATAGCTCAGGGTGAGAACAAGCCTAAGCCCGCTGCTGCACCCTTTGCCACGGGTCGAAGGTGAGATTCTTGCCTCGCCCTCGGCCCCGCTGCTGCTGGATGTGTGCCTCGTTGTGTCATTTTGGGAGGGTGACCATGGGCTTTCAAGGCAGCTGGAGTTTTTTTCACCGCAAAGTCTAAACCTTTCCTGCAGCATTTGTTGACCAAACTGCAGTCGTGAAAAAATCCCCAGCTGCAAAAAAAACCCCAAACAGCCTCACGCGAACAGACACTTGCATAGAATGCGGGCCTTTTATTGCTCCGAGCTATGGCAAACTGCTTAGTGGTTGCGGGTATTTTGGGCAAGGACGTCGTTGGACAGGCCCCCAAAAAATCATCTTGGACCTTTGTTTATTCCCTTTTGTTTGGTGAACACTTGGATTTGGCCTCAAGACCCCACCAAGGCCAAAGCTCTATGTACTTGCCCCACAGCGTTAGCGATCAGCTCTGAATTGACAACCACCATGGCTCACGATTCACGGGGGATGCGGTGTCTCATGTGTTTCATAGCCTATAACAAACTCGGCACCCTCACATAGTTTGGGCTTGGTTCTTAGTGTAGTAGGTGTAGCATTCTGGCTTCGGAGTTCTTGGGCATCCAACTGTGCCAGGTTCTTAGGCAACTTCTGCAAACAGCATCGTGCTCTCGTGCCTTGCAAGTACCATCAGGTATGCTACATGGTGTGGGCCATGCAAGCTTCTCGAATTTGCACCGGGGACGGAGGCTAGAGCTCTGGATCGTCAGGTTCGTATCGGGGCTATTAAAGTACACAACCTCAGAGGATTTTCTTTGCCGGGTTCGGACTTTAGGCCGGTTTGGTTTCAGGGTTCCGGGTTCAACAGAGAATCGCCTGTGTGTAAGGATCCTTGTGGCTGCTCCAGGGTCTCAGTATCTTCGGCTGCTAGAAGCAAACGCCCCAAAGGTTTCATGACGCTTCTACTCCGGCTTCTTGATAGGGTTTATATCCGTGGGTGTGTGTGTGTGTGTGTGAGCGAGTGAGGGAGTGTGTGTGTGTGTGTGTGTGTTTGTTTGTTTGTTTGTTTGTTTGTTTGTTTGTTTCGTTGTTTGTTTGTGTGTTTGTTTGTGTTTGTGCGCCGCAGAAACCCCGATGCCTCTCCGAGGTTTATGGAGCCAGAGATGGCAAAGGCGGCCCAAAGAGTTGGGAGCAAGGCGCACATCTGGAAAACCTGATCCACAGTGAGTCCACGTTATTAATAAGCAAACCAAGGGTTTCCCTATTTTCATTGCCACCAGTAGGTTGGGGAAGCAGGTAAGCCCATCCAGACGCATTCTAAACCAACACTCCTCAAGACTTGTTCGTCTTGCAGGCTTGTGCTGTGGCACAGAGGAATCGCTAGGTTGTACAGATGCATAGTCATGGAGCGAGGCAAGGACAATTGTCTTTGTGGCTGCTTCTTCTTTATGGCAGTTGTCTTTCGGATGTCTATTCTTTTTCGGGTTCCGTTTACACGATATCGCTTAATGTTTAGGTTGCCTGTTTAGGTTCATGCTGCCACACTCATGGCTTCAGTCTTGGAGATACAGCAAACCCTAGCGGGAAGTGGGTGTTCTTGCCCTTGGGGATTCTTCTGCCGGCAGGTTTCAGGCTTCAGGGCATTAGGAGGCAGCTTTTGGGGGGTTCAGGCTTAGGGCGGCGCATGTGAGAATTGCCCGTTCCGTTCCAAGTCTCAGCCCTACAAGGTAACGTGCCGCCAGACAGGGGAGCTATGATTCAATGACTGCTGAGTTTGCTGAGCATCAAAGCCCCAACTGCTCAGGTGCTCATGGCCAAGCTAGATTCCGACGAAGAGAGCGCGGTGTCGGATGAGCTGCTTCGAATGCTCAGCATCTGGTTCGGTGCTTTAAGGTAAACGACGCTTTTGGGTTATTGGTATAAACTCTGGGGGAAGGTTTCAGGATGTTTTAAAACATCGATGCATCTGCTCAAGAAGCCTACACAGGACTAAACTCTAAACTCTTGCTGAAAGCAATCCGACGCAGCCCCCCGAAATCCTGGAAACCCAGACTGGGGGTCCGTGGCTTGCCGACGGTGATCCTTTTCGACAAGACGGGCAAGGACTCTCCGCCAGCGAGTTGTGTTTTCGTTTTTTTATTGGGAGGGGGGGGGGGGGAGGGGTTGCATTCTGGTTTGGAAATTTACACCTGCACCGCACGCAAGAAGTACAAAGGCACAGCAGTGGCTCGCCAGGTCGATGGCTGCAGCCTTTTGCGGCAAGTAATAGGTAAATACCTTTGGAAGTTGTCTATCCTCAACCGGTGGGTCGTCCATCTGGTCTCCGACTTTGCTTCCAAGTTGGTCAGGAGAGGTTGAGAGATGTAGGGCTTTGAGCGTGCTGAAGACGCATCGATACGCTCGCAGTACAAGCGGTCTTCGCGCCCCCGGCTTTGTCTATATCACTTTGCTAGGTATGGGTTCGCGAGTGTCGAAAGCCCCCCTGCTCTCTGCAATCTCACGAATCTGCCCAAACGGCCAAACCCACCGAGCCACCCGAAGCTCCCCTGCCATCGAGGAGAAAAACCGTCTTGAAGGTGCCATGGTCGAGTCGCAGCTCCCTGGCCAACCGTATTCCTGCCTCAAAGCTGCTTGCAGAGGCCCGACAATCCTCGACCCAAAGTTAGCTTTGAAGCTCTGAAAACGAGGAACTCTGATTTGAGGGTGAAGGGTGGCTCTGTGCACAACCTAAACTGGGCACAACCTAAAGCTCCATAAGAGGGTCGAGCTCTAGGATTTTGCATGATGATGACGACCTGAACGGTATGCTTCTGCGGGGTTCACCTAAGGATCATGAGCTTTCTGAAGGACGTGCTTGAGTGACAAGGACTTGTGACACTTCTGCGGGTGAAAATGGAATGGGACGCCACGGAGAGCTTGTGCTGAGACCTCCCCATGTAGTTGGGCCAAGAAAGTCGCGCCCTGCCCCGTCAACTCGAGGCTCTCGCGCTTCTTCCTCGCCTGAGTGAGGACGACTGTAGAGCTCGCATGCAATCCCACTGGCGGGATGGGCCATGGAAGTCATCAGGATTTTTGCTGAGAAGGGGCAGGGTCCAGCTGAGTCGCTGCAACTCCAAATCCGCAAAGGCAAAGGGGTTTTAGGGCATTGCGAGTTGCGGCCAAAGCTTGTAAGGGCTTTACTGGTCAGATCCCCCTCAACTGCCAGTCGGTCCTGCAAGAGAGATTGCAGGGTTGTCAATGCAAGGAAGCCGCGTGCGGCTGCAAATGACCACTCCTTACCTCTCTCAACGTCATCTCTCGTTTCCGCCACCAGGTAATTGAACCCCCCACAATGCGCAGATGTCCACAGACCGTGGGTCTGCATGAGCTATCCCAAGAAATCGGTGGCTGTGCGGAGATACCCTGAGGAAAGGCTGGCCCAGGGCTGACCCAGACACAACTATACGATTCGCCATGCGAGTTGGGCACCGACGGTTGAATGGACTTTGTGGCCCCCGGTGCTGCACATAGTCCATAAATCTTCGTGAAAGTAGCGTGAAAAATTGCTTTAATCTGCACAAGGTACCTCGGCTGGGCATTTGAAGGCACTTGGAGAGTGCAAGCCTGTCACTGAGGAGGCTGTCGTGGCCCTCTTTAGATTTAGGGAAGGTCTACATGGTCGCCAGGCTGCCAGAACACAATGGGTAGTTGGACGAGAATCTCACATGATGTCGGGCAGATTGTTTTCTGTGCTTGGAACACTAAATTTTTCAGTCCCAGGAAGTAACTTAGGTGGACATTATGTCACGACAGCAATGGCACGGCCTGTGGCTACTGTACCAGTTACCTGTACCTCTCATGATGTCATTTTAAATGTTACTAAATCCAACCGTGACAGCTTCAAGGCGGAACATGCCACATCGATTCGTTTTTTGACCCGTCCCGGATTGCGAAGCTCTCCAATCTCTCCACATCCATGCTGAGAGCTTTTCGCTTTCCAGGCCTTGGTATGAGTATCCAGCGTAGTTT